CAGGCCCCATAATGAGCGGCTTCGACCGCCGCGCCAATCATCCTATTTCCAGGCGGCCGGCGCGGGCCAGCGCCGCCGCACTGCCGTCACGTGACCGGCACCGCCGTCACGTGACCGGCACCGCCGTCACGTGACCGGCACCGACCAATGGCCGCCGCCGGCCGGCCGGCCGGCCCGTAAAGATCGGCCCGCTCGCTCCACCGCCGGGTCGCCCGAAACGCTCCGGGCGGGGGTTTGACTACAAACGGGCCCAAGTTGGCCCCGTCTGCTGCGCCGTCTTCCATTGAGCGGCCGCGCCCGATGGCGCAGCCGCAGCTGACCTGGCGCTGGCCGTGTCGGAGCTGTCGGAGCTGACCTGGCGCTGGCCGTGTCGGATCTGGTTGGCAGCGGGTCGGAGCGGCGGCCGGTGTCAGTGGGGAGCGCCGTGTCCGGACCACCGCGGGCCTCGGCCGGCCAACGGTCCGCTTGGCGCGCCTCCCAGACACCTGTCGAAGGTGGCACTGACGCCGGCGCCCCCCCCCCAGCTGAGGGGGAGCGCGGACCCAGGGCTGCGTCTGGCGGTGATCAGCCGGGTCGGCCGCCGCCGCCGCCCCCGCCCGAGCCTCACCTTCCTGCTCCTCTCAAGGACGCCGGGCGGGTGGCAGCCCGCAGCGGGCTCTCACGCACACTGGGCGGGCGGGCTACGGCGGGCGGCGGGCGGCGGCGCACCGTCACCGGGCGGAGACGGCCGGACCTGCAGCCGGCCCACGCCCGCCGCCCGCCGCTGCAGCTGAGCACAATCAGAGATGCGGGCGGCCGCGAGCGCACCTCTGGCCACTCAGCCGGCGGGCGGAACCCGGAAGAGGCCGCTCTTACCGACAGCCGCGCCCGCTGGACAGGCGCACACTGGACAGCGGCGCCCGCTGGACAGCCGCGCCCCAGCAGACAGCCGAGGCGGCACCAGCCGCACTGCAGCTCACTGCCTTCAATCGCGGCGATCGTCAATCGTCATGCATCTCAGTTTTATGAGGGCAGGTCCGTGTTCGGTTAAACAGGAGCTACATCTCATGTCAGGGATATCAGGAGGCTCGGGCTGCCTCCGCTGCACACACGGCAGCGAAGGAGCGGCGACGGGTGGGTTTGGCCTACCGGGCAGATAGTCATGGCGCGTCGTCCCAGAGGTCAGGCCACGCGTACCGCAGCTCGGCGTCTCGTCCGCCACGGACACACCCATTTAAGTGACGGCGGACGTCGGAGGGGCGCTAGCGTGGTGTGACCTGAGCAGCGGCGACCTGACGTGACCTGCCCTGAGCAGCGGCGACCTGACGCGACCTGACCTGAGCGGACGCGTGAGGTGCGCTGGCGTGGTGTGAACAGAGCAGCAGCTGCAACTCGGAGGGCACCGGCGATGTGCCTATCCCGTCCCTGCCCCGCCGGGGGCGGTTCCTGGCTCCCAGCACGGCCGGGGCCCGGCGCGGTCGATCGCGCGGCTCTGGCGTGTGATCGAGCCGGCCGTTGATGGCCGTGAATCAGCGGGCGTCGATAGCGAATCGAACGGTCAGCTTGTTACGGACAGTGGCTTGATGCTCGGGGCACTCGGGAGCGGTTTGTTATACAACACGGAAATGGGAGCTCGGCGGCAGAGGGCAGTGTAAATTGAATAGCGTGCTTCGATCGCCTGATTCCGTGCAAGGATCGGCCCCGGGTCCGAGTTTCCCAGGCGGTTGCCATTCGGAGCGTACTGCAGCACAACTAGAACAGTCGATGGGCAGTCGGCCACCACCGGAGAGCTGCTTCAGCTCGAGAGCTGTCAGCAATCGGGCCTTTGTGCGCCGTGCTGATAGGCGCGCCGGGTATCGGAGCACTCGCCCACCTGTGACTAAGGCGCGGCCTGCACAGGTGGCTGCCGAGTGCCGACGGACGGTCGTGATTCAGGGCTCGGCACGGACCGCGCTGATTCACAATGTCAGCGGTCCGGTCGGCCGGCGGCCGTCAGCGGTCGGGTCAGCGCCGTGAGGCCCGCCCTTCAGTTGGCCCGCTGCTGCTGGTCCGGGGCGCGCCGCTATGGTCCGGGACGCCTAGCTCTCCGGCTGCTGGTCCGAGGTGCCCGCTTAGCTCTCCGGCTGCTGGTCCGGGGGGCCCGCTCAGCTCTCCGGCCTCTGGTCCGGGGCGCCCGCTCAGCTCTCCGCTTGGTGTCGGCCACTACTCCGGGGCGCCCGCTCAGCTCTCCGCTCGGTGTCGGCCCGGGGCGCCCGCGCAGCTCTCCGGCCGCTACTCCGGGGCTCCCGCTCAGCTCTCCGCTCGGTGTCGGCTGCTGGTCCGGGGTGCCCGCTCAGCTCTCTGCTCGGTGTCGGCTGCTACTCCGGGGCGCCCGCTCAGCTCTCTGCTCGGTGTCGGCTGCTGGTCCGAGGCGCCCGCTCAGTTGTCCAGCGCTGCTGCTCCGGGGCGCCCGCTCAGCTCTCCGGCCTCTGCTCCGGGGTGTCCGCTCAGCTCTCTGCTCGGTGTCGGCTGCTGCTCCGGGGCGCCCGCTCAGCTGTCCAGCGCTGCTGGTCCGAGGTGCCCCTGCCCGCTCAGCTCTCTGCTCGGTGTCGGCGGTGAAAGCTGATCCGCCGCCGCCGACACAATGGACTGGCGCGGACAGGGCGCGGCGCCGGCACAGCCGCGCAGTCCACCGAACGTGACCGGACGCACGCGGCCGGTCGGCCGGCAACAGCGGCACAGGCCAGTGCATACCGGATCATACAGCCGGTACAGGGGCGGGTCGTACCGAATCGAACTGCCGATACAGGGGCGGGTCGTACAGCCGATACAGGGGCGGGTCATGCAGCCGATACAGGGGCGGGTCATACAGCCGATACAGGGGCGGGTCATGCAGCCGATACAGGGGCGGGTCATGCAGCCGATACAGGGGCGGGTCATACAGCCGATACAGGGGCGGATCATGCAGCCGATACAGGGGCGGGTCATGCAGCCGATACAGGGGCGGGTCATACAGCCGATACAGGGGCGGGTCATGCAGCCGATACAGGGGCGGATCGTACCGGATCGACAGCCGATACAGGGGCGGTTCGTACCGAATCATACTGCCGATACAGGGGCGGGTCATACCGGGCCGACAGCCGATATAGGGGCGGGTCATACCAGGCCCAACCATATCGGGCTCCAGCCTCCATCATACCAACTTATCATCCAAGTCTTCTTTCGGGCTGACGGGACAGCCCATGGCCATTGCCGTTTAGGTAGGTAGGTATTTATTCTGTGTCGATGCAGGTTTTAACCAGTACCGTGATGATGACAGTAATTTATCATCATTACAATATTTTTGCTCCGTTAGATTATAATTGGTGACTTGGCTTGAGCTATTATGAAGCAATAATTCTTCATAACTGTTAACTACCTAAAACAAAAAACTCAAACCGTAAAAGGATGGACTGCTGAAAGCCGCAAGTATGACGTAGAGCTAGTCAATGGCATAAGAATCCAAGCGCTTGAGTCAACAGGAATTTCTCTTGTGGGCCTCCTTCTTTTTTGTGGACGAGGAGGAATGACGTATTCGCATATGCTTATAAAGCACGATACCTAAACCGCATGCATGAAGCACACCATGCAACTCGTCACGTCCTCATCTGAACCCGGCAGCGGCACGCCATCAGGTGGCACGGAGCAGCCAGCGACTGACCCAGAGAGCCCTCAGCAGCGACCTCAGGACCAGGGACCCTCTGAGCAACGACCACCGGCTCAGGGAGCCCCTCAGCAACGACTCAGGGAGCCTCTCAGCAGCCATCACCGACTCGGGGAGTCCCTCAGCAGACTGTCGACTCCGAAAGCCCCTCAGCACCAGCCGTCCAGACTCTGACGGCTCCCCAGCACTGACTGTTCAGTGTCCTGTGCTTCCTCAGCTCAGCACTGACGGCGCTGGCCGCTGGCCGCTGACCGCTGGGCGCTGGCCATGCGGTTCTGGCCGCTGACTGCTGGCCGTACGGTGCTGACCGCTGATCGCTGGCGCTGGCCGCGCGGTGCTGACCGCTGGCCACTGACGGCGCTGGCCGCTGACCGCTGGCGCTGGCCACTGACCGCTGGCCGCTGGCCGCTGGCCGCTGGCCGCTGACCGCTGACCGCTGGCGCTGGCCGTGCGGTTCTGGCCGCTGGCCGCACGGGCCGCGGGCCCGGCGCCGGCTCTCCGTTAGGATCATCCGATTAGGGTGCACCGAGTCGGCGGCGGCCGCCATTGATGCACCACCAGGTGGTGAGCCGGATTTGGGCCAGGTGAGGACATGCCACTTATGCCGCCCACGGCTGGGCCCGACCGTCAGCGGCCGGCAGTGGCCGCCGCGCCGCCGGTGACGACGGGCATACCTCCACTCCACACTGTCCGTGCAGCCGCAGGGCGGTCAGGGGCAGAGTCAGAGCGTGGTTCGGGGCAGTTATAGGGCGGCCTGCAGCAGTTACAGGACGGTCCGTGGAACACCACCGCGAGCCCTTCGACGGAGTTCAGCTATATCACATTATTACAGCTAAGACGGTAGCTGCGAGCCACTGACTGACGCTGCCGTATTGGGCTCTTGGGCGGATATTTGGTTTTGAGAGGTGCGGTGCGGCGCGCACTGCCCCGCGTTCTGCCCCGGCTGGGATCACTGTGATTCGATCGAGGGCCGGTATAAGGGTGACGATAATGATGGCGTTCAGCTGCCGCGGGGCCGGCTGACTGGCCACCGGGTTACGTTCAAAGGCCGAATGGGACGGCACATCAGTGGGGAGCAGAGCCTCAGAGCTGCTGTCCGCTCCGGAGCTCCACCACTGCGCAGGGACACAGGTGCCCGAGCGGGGTTTGGATTGTCCATCCCCGGCGTTAGACTGGTCCGTGCGGTCCAGCACATGATACAATGACGCGCAACTGTACGCGGTCAGATAACGCGGATGATATGTTTCTCAATGGGACAGACAACCTCTGTCAGGCTCTCAGGAGGCGCCGTGAGCTGTGAGCTATACGCGCCGGGTGAGCGTTGTGAGATGGAGCTCACCTGCAGACAGTCCGGTGAGTAGCAGTGAGAGCAGCAGCAGCAGCAGCGGTGCGGCCCGTATGCCCGGGTCGAACGGACTCAGAAACTGCATGGCAGAGAGCCGTCCGCGTGCGCCAGCTCGCCTGCAGGCGGACACAGACGGTCAGACGGGCAGAAAGACACGGCTAGACGGCCAGATAGAGAGGCGGTCAGACAGTCAGGCGGACACAGGCGGGCAGACGATCGGACGGACAGGTTAGACAGACAGACGGACAGAGAGAGACGGTCACACGGTCAGACGGTCTCAGACAGACAGACAGACAGACAGACAGAGACGGTCACACAGTCAGACGGCCAGATGAACAGACGGTCAGACAGATGCGGACGAAGGGTCAGGCGGTCAGATGGTCAGGCGAAAACAGACGGACAGGAAGTCAGCGACGGTTATACACACAGACGGTCAGACGATTAGACGGTCAGACGGTCAGACGGTTAGACGGCCAGACGGTCAAACGTACAGACGGCCAGGTCACATATACAGACGGTCAGACAGACGGACAGAAGGTCAGACGTCGGAGGGTAAAACGGACGTAAGACGACAGAGACGATCAAACGCGTCAACAGAGACAAACAGCGACGGGCAGATGGATAGACGTTACTACGGACAGACGGATCCGCTTATCGTGGGTCTGGCTGAGCGGAGCGGGTCACCTAAAAATGTCATCAGTCCGCACTACACAACAAAGGAACGATACAGAGAAGTAACGCGCCAAAATAGGATGTCGAAAACCCAATTTAGGAAAACTGTATTGAGTCAAAGAGAATACAGGACAGAATTGCAACTATCAAATCGTCATTCCCTCCCCGACTTTGAGCGCATGTTAGCAGCCAACATTACCATGCATTGTCGATGGATATATGGTGGCTGAATGGAACAAATGGCTACAAAATGGCCACTAAACATCACTCAGCTATTTAAAGCGAGTGTCCGGATACTGGTTACCATCCCCAGCGCAGTAAAATCCAGTTCATAACTTGTTAGCATAAACTGCGGAGCGAGTACGCCGAGTGCGATTTGAATACGCCGCTGCAGGCATGCCCGGTATGCTGGATGTGAATCGGCTCGGTCCGCCCGACCATACATGACGGATGTTCTGTTCGGGCACCTTGTCCGGCCCGTCAGCTGGTCTAAATCAGATTTACGGAGCACTGAGCCCGGCGCGCCCCATAACGGGTGGCCGTGTGTCCCCGGGCTGACGGTCCTGTGTGGCAGGCAGCAGCACGACAAAACGATATGGCAGCGCCCTGTGACAGTGCGATATGGCAGCGCCCTGTAACACTGTGACTGTGCCATATGGCAGCGTCCTGTGACAGCGCAATATGACAGCGTCCTGTGACTGCCATATGTGACGCCCTGTGACGCCTGGGCCGGACTGGAATGTGACAGACTGGACTGGAATGTGACACGGACCATACTGAAATATAAAAAAATATCGGACTGGAATGAGACTCAGACCGGACTGGAATTTGGTAGAGACCGGAATGGACTGTGACGCAGACCGGACTGGAATTTGGTAGAGATCGGAATGGACTGTGACGCAGACCGGACTGGAATGTGATGCGAATCTGACTGGAATCTGACTGGCTGTGTCATATTTCAATCTGACACAGCCCAGATTGAAATATGACACAGAGCGGACTGGAATGTGACAGACTGGACCCGCGGTGCTGTAACCAATACCGTGCAGCGATAGAGAACGTAGGCCCGATGACTGGGCACAGTCCAATGTCGGTCCACCCGACCGCAGATGGTGAGCTCCGGGGGCCCCGCTCGACCGTGCTCGACACAAAACACCTGCCGGGCAACTGGAGCTAGTCCCGGGCGAGGTATGCATGTCGGGGGAAATACGAGTGGAGTTACACACTCAAAACACGGCAGCATGGGATCCAGGCGGCCCGGGCATGGGCCTCACCTCACCGCCCTAGAATGCGTCTCAGAACGTATACTACCTATTCATGTATAGCTAAAGCGCTCATCAATATGTAAGGCCATAGTGCCCGTGTCAGGATTACGGCCAAACCATTGTACTGGATAGTGAATATTCACATGAATCTATTCCGATAGCCAGAGCCCGGTCACCGATGGAATGCATCCGGACGAAGCGCTGGCTGTGTTGGTAGGCCAGGCGCGAGCGATTTCACCGGCCCGGTTCGGACAAGAGTGGGTTCGCTAAGTAAGGAGCCCTTCCAAACTAGCGCGCTATCAGATTCGCGTCACTTTTACCCAGCGTCGATAACAAAACGAAACAGAAAACTCTGATTTAGGCCGGCTTTCGCAGTATCTTTCAGCTGACGTAAACAGAAACTCCCATGGCACGTCCCAGGAAAGTCTGGCCGAGCGTACCTGCGCCGTGGAGCCGGGACAGTGCGGTGGCGACTCGGCGCTTAATGAGGTGACTCACCGCCTAAGTGCGCGACCTCTCACTGCGCTAATTACTGCGCACAAGGCGTCTGTTTGGGAATCGGAGCGGCCGCCAGTCTGGCCTCGGCCGGTCCAGCAGCTGAATTCCCTAACAGGGCGATCGGCCGGCCTGATCAGCCTGTGCACCGCGCTGACCCCACTGACAGGGTGGCCACATTAGATCCCACCGCGTCTTACCACACCGCACGGCACACACATGTCATATAGGGCTGCTGAGCTGAGGCTATTTCTTACATCCCGCCGCGGGCCGACGGAGGCTGGGGGCGCGGGGTCGCACAGCGGCGGCCCTGTGCTATACAGTGCGCGCCGGACGCCGTCCCGCGGCCCAGCACAGCTGGCGACCGCGTGGCGCGCGGACGTTGTCGCTCGGACCTCTGTCGGACGTCGCTCGGGGCTCCGTCGGACGTCGCTCGGGCCTCTGTCGGTCCCGACGGCTCGACGCCGGCCGGCGGCCCGTCGCCGGAGCGCGGAGCTCCCCGGGCGGGGACGGAGGCCGGCAGCGGAGGAGCTACCGAACGTCCCGTGTTCTGCGTCACTGGTAATGTCCCGCAGTGGGATTATTTGAAATTGTCAGCGTCTGTAGCGGAGGCTCCGGCCGAGCCGAGTGGAGCAGGACAGTGCCGTCAGTTCGTGTCGCGAATCACTGCACCATCCGTCCGGCCGGCCGGCAGGTGCACCCATACTGACAACAGGCCGTCACAAACAGCTCCGGGTTCCCGGAAAGGCACACCGGTGCCGTCCACCTCAATGTGTTGGTTCGATGCATACATTTCGGACCTTCACGGAATCCGCTGAATCGCTGCACAGCGGTCAGTACCGACGGGTGCTGTGCTGTATCCGTCAATGGAGAGGCGCGGCCAGCTGCCCGGGCACAGGACTGGAGGGACTGGACTCAGCTGCCCGGCGGGTCATCACAGAGGCCGTGACCCAGGTGCACAGCGGGTCATCACAGGGCCCCCGGCCCCCGACACAGTTGCACGGCGGGTCATCACAGGGGCCCCGACAGGTGCACGGCGGTCAGGTCAGGGATCCGGCGGCTCCGGTCAGGGCCATTGACCCAGCTGCACGGCGGATCGGTGCCCGACGGGCCCTCACAGAAGCCCCGACCCAGCTGCCCGACGCGACGGTTTGCCACCCTCTCCTCGGCATCCACGCGCATCAACACGAGGGCCGCAGATTAGCCCAGAAGGCGGCGCAAGAAAACAATCAACACGCGCTTTGACAACACGCCTCTCAACAACATGTCTGCTGAAAACAGCCGGGGTCCGGCAGACCGGGCGGGAGCCGGGAGACGGCGCAGCTGGCGGGCCGTCTGTCCGTCTGTCCGTCTGTCCGTCTGTCCGTCTGTTCGGCCCCGCAGAGCCCGCGGGCAGTGTCAGTGTCAGACAGATAACGCTATCGGAAACATTAACAGCCGCCAGGCTAGAAAAAACACACTCGGTAAACTGAGCTGTTTGGGAGATACTATTCAACGAGCCCATTGAAACCACGCCCGAGAGAAGAAAACGGACTCGTGACGGGCGAAAGTGAGATGCCAGGCTAATCATATCCTTTGAGGCCTGGTGATCCAGGACCAGCTTTCAGTTTATTCACCTGAGAACAGAGCGCGTGTGGCCGCGGAGCGAGCCGCGCCGGCCGCCCAGGCCCCAGTCGGCTCCTTACTGATAGTGGCGGCCAATTCCGCGAACTCCAGCCGCCGCGCGGAGGTGACTGGTGCGCGCCGGCCGGTCCGCCGTCCCAGGTGAGAACACTCTCCCGCCGAGCAGCGCTCTCACAGCGGCAGCTCACTTCACACCCGCTCGCCACGCGGCGATCAGCCGCACGTCACACACTCGCACAGCAGCGGCGCCTCGCCAACAGTGGCCGGGGCCTCACAATACACTGTCAGGGAGCTGTGGGGCACCCTCTCACCACCGCGCCAGTCGGCCGACCACTGCCGCCGGCGCCGCAGCCGCTGCCGCTGCCGCCCGGCGGCCGGCCCCGACCGGCCCCACGCCAGCTGCGCGCCGCGGTCCGCTCGCTAGAGCCGCCGCCGCGCCGGCGAGTCTACGCCCGCTCAAGATGAAAAACAGGCTGGTGGGGCGGGCGGAGGGCCGCGCGCCGGCACCTCGCCGGTGTTCACAACAGGGGAGCGCGCACCGGGGCCAGCGCCGCGCCGAGGGGAGGGGAGGGGAGGGGAGGGGAGCGGACCGGCGCCCATCATCTGGTTGTTTACGTGCAAGAACACGGCGCGCGGAGATTGGATCGCACCCCAGTGCCCGCGCCCGTCATTATGAGTCGGATTACTGGTTTAATAACAAAGTGGGGTTGGCACCTGGCGCCGGTGCACGGCGTTGTGCTGACCAGCGCTCGGCGCGGTACGGCGCGGCTGGCCGGCCGGACTGGCACATTTGTAGCGTTGGGCTCGGCCGATGTAAATGAGGCGAGCGTGACTGCTGGCGCGGCACATGAGGCCGGCCCGGCTATCGGCGCGGGGCGGCGTGTCAGTGTCACTGTCGGCCGGCCAGACAGCTGGGGACTGCACTCGACGTACACACACGCCTGTGAGCTGGAACACTGCACAGTACACACACTGCACTCGATATACACACGCGCCTCACGCCTGTCAGCTGGACCACTGCACACTCGCTGCCAGTTTCAGCGGACAGCTCGTCAGCGGTGGCCTGACGGACCGTAGAGCCGTCACCTGACAGACCGTAGTGACGTCACCTGACGGGCAGTAGTGACGTCAGCTGACGGGCCGCAGTGACGTCAGTTGACGGACCGTAGTGACGCCGCCTGACGTGCCGCAGTGACGTCATCTGACGGACCGTAGTGACGCCGCCTGACGTGCCGCAGTGACGTCAGCTGACGGACCGCAGTGACGCCACCTGACGGGCCGCAGTAACACCATCTCCATTCCTAAATTACCGGCTTTCCCAGCCATTGGAATAAATAGTATCATATCGACCGTAGTCCATGATAGCAGCCTAGAACTTTGCAAGAACATCAGAGCTTCTCGAAAAATGTTAACGGTTCATGGTTTTGTTTCTCCATGAATTGCCGACATAGCTACATGCTTATAATATTCATACAAGTGTGCTTTATTCAAATATCGTTTGTTGTTGAACCTGTCGGATTCGGCGATATCCGTGCTTATGAAAAAAAAAACATTTAAGCTGATTCCTTGAAACTAATCATTAGACGTTCCTTTATAAGTAAAACATATTTTCCTGAACTAGGTGTAGGGCCAGGGAATTCTAAAAATAATGGCTACTGACATTAAATTGCGGTAGGTAGTAAATTGCGTTCGATGAGCAGAAGCAGATGAAATGTCACAGCCCAGCCTGTAACATGGATGAGGAGCTGTTCCTGCAGTGCCTTCTGATGCTGTTCATATATGAATATCCATATGGATGAGTGCAATGTGCACAGACTCACGATGATTTGATATACGAGCGCACGGACAAGGCATTGTTTTCACCACCGATGATTGCAACCAAGGACACGCTAATGTTCTTGCACACATGCAAACAATTAATGTTACGCAATTTGAGCAGGACTTTCATCCACCCATAGATATCCAGTTTGCTTTGCTTGCAAATACACAGGCTGTTCCTGAACTGAACACTACAGCACACCAATATACATCACTAGCTTGGTGTGTACTTAGTACTTACCCATAATCAAGTTCAGAGGCATATATCCATAGGAACAGCGTAAAATGGCAAGGACTTAATTAAGATATTCATGCTCTGTCACATACTTCTCTATATGAGAGGTCTCAGGTCTGCGTGCGTCTGCAAACTGCAGGTTCAGTTGATTAGGAAGTGTGAGCTGTTTCTTTCCTCAGATCCCCGTCGCTCGTTATGCCGGTTCCGTGGGTGCCCTGCTCAATGTTCTTGTTGAGCGTGCACTGCTCCCATTGTGCCTTATTGGGCAGGGCCGGCTGATATGGGTGTGACCTATGTAGTGTGTGTAGTACATTGTGCATGGCAGTGTATGGCACGTGTGTCGCATGTGGCCCACGCTCGATGGGCGCGCCGCGCGGCCGCCACCACCAGACAACCAGAAACGCCCGGCCGCTCAGCCGCTGCAGGCTCAGCCGCGGCACTGGTTAATTAACATATTACAGGACAATGTACGAGTAAATAAAAAATAGTCGTCCACCGTCCCCCCCCCCCCACCGTCCACCGTCCACCGCCCGCAGTCCACCGACCATCGTCCGCGCCGTCCACCGTCCGCCGTCCGCCGTCCGCCGTCCACCGTCCGCCGTCCACCGTCCATCGTCCACCGTCCGCGGGCCCGGCTCGGTGGCCCGGCACGCAGCAGCCCGCCGCCGCCGCCTCAGGCCAGCTGTGGTTTAGCCGCGCCCGCCGGCCGCCGCCTCCCCTCCTAATTAACTGACCGGCCAATAAGTAATTCTCCGGGCGCGTTTTCACGCCTGCTGGCCGGACCGACCAGATGCGCCGCGCAGTATGGCTCTTCTCCGGTAGCTCTACCACTAATTTTGGACCTTATGGGAGCGTCATCGACTCCAGTGTGGAAGCCGGGCTCCGGACGCAGTTCTCATAACCAGCAGACAGCTCTAATCCGAGGGGAGCGGACAGCCAGAGCTGGCCTATTCGGCGGCTCTAATCCCACGGCAGCGGAAAGGCTGTCGGTGAACACAGCAGCTCCAGTCTCGGGCCAGGATGGCGGCGCCAGAGACCAGCTAATCGGGGGCCGTATTTCAGAATCAGGGCCGCAGAGGCGACACGGCGCCTGGCGCACCTCCCGCGGCCGGCAGCCCTGACCTCGAGTTGTGTCAGGGCGGCAGTTCCGCCTGCTCTGACACCGGCCGGTCTCCCACAGACGAACCCACACCGAGTGGGAGGCGCAGACAGGGAGCGGAGCGCCCATATCGTGATATCACGCCTTTCGGTCCAGGCTCGTCTACAGGACAGTCGGACACGTCGGCCGGTTGGTGTTCGGGGCTGGACGGGGGGGGGGGGGGGGCACAGAGCCGGATTGTCGGCACAGGTGGCCGGCACAGGTGTGCGCTTTCCGGCACCGAGCGATAAGGAAAAATGGAGAGCCTCGCCGACCGACTACAACCGCAGAGCCTGCCCGAGGGCCGTGCTGGTGGGCACAAAAGCTGTTTGTGTGAGATTCCACAATGCCCTCAGAAAAACGGCCACTGACGTCAGACTTGGGGTTTCTTTGACATCACAGGCTCTTGTTCCGTGTCCTCGCTACGGAGCTCGCCAGCATAGAGGCGGCGGCAGCACCACGGCGTGTTAGCCTGGGAATGCCGCATAAAAAGGAAATGTAGCTGCCATCCCCATAGTCCCGACCCACGGAACCCGTCCGGATGGCCGAAACAAATCGGGAACGAATTGGATCGTTTAGGGCAGCGGGCGAAATGCTTACAACCGCGCCTGGAGCTATGAGCCTAATCGGCCATTCCGGAGGGCGATTGCTCATTGTTGGCCGGGCCGGGCCGGGGCGGCGCGGCGCTGGGTCCCTCGGCAGAGGGGAGGCCGGCCCCACCCGGGCGCGGCGCGCACAATAGCGCCCCGGCCCGGCCGACGGCGGCACGCACCCCTCCGAGTCCGCACGGCCGACCTCGAGGTGTGAACAAAGCCGACTTGGTGGCGCCTTTAGTTAGCGATCGGCCGAGCCGGGCATGTCAGCTATCCTGAGGGGCGCTGCGACTTTCTCCGGCGCGGCGCGTGGGCGCTGGCCACGCGGGCCGCCACCGCCGCCACCGGCGGACGGGCGCCCTGCTGTGCCGCGGGACGGAGTCGGGTACATACATACCTAGTGTTCGCGAGAATCGTTTAGTTCACCCGTTCGAGTACTCGTTCTCTTTCGTCAACCGGAGGACCATAAAGTTATTGTTCATATATGAAAAAGTCTATTCTTGAATGAAACGGAAACGGTTAAAATGCACAAAATACGGCGGTCACAAATGCGGTTCACTGAATCGTTCTCGTAGGGCCCCGTGGCCGCGTCGTACGTAAGGCCACGTCGGCCACGTCGTGCACCGGGCCGTCGCGCACCGGTGGAGTCCCGTCGAAGACTGTCAGGCCCCCGTCCCGTCTCAGCCCTCGTGGTACGCACAACACGTGGGCATGAGAACCAGGACAGGGGCCAGATGACACATATGTGAGCGGCGTGGCGCGGCGGACCGACCGCCGCGCTCCGAGCGCCGGCCGTCTTTGCAAAGGTATCAAAAATGCCTATTTGCTCGCTAACATAGCCGGCCCGGTTTTTCGCGATCATCCGCGGAAAATCCAACAACTAGCGAGCAATCGTTCAAGCGTCCCGTACGCACGCACACACTCGTAACGATCCGTTCAACATGCGCGATATACATACACTCACATACGATGCACATTACGCACTACACAATGTCTGACTGAGGCAGGCATTATCCCCGCCAACAATCACCCAGTCATAAAACTGGTGACGGCGCGGTCTCGGCAGCCGGGTGCCGACACACACTGACGCATGTCGTAAACTACACACGCTGGGCCGAGAGGCATTGGCGCCTGGCGGCAGTGACATTGCCGTCACATGGCCGACACACAACAAACACCCATCACACAATGTACAACATGACACACATTACGTTACCGAAGCGGCGAAGCGAACAAACGCGGACGTACAATAGCGCTAACACGGTGCGTATCATAAACTAATCTAACACTGCTATGTTACACTCTAAGGTCGTAAACTACTAGCGCGTCCAAGAACTGTCACACGGCTCACAGCTGATAGCTAATGGCTGAACACTCAATACAAATGACCATTCGCAGCGGACAGAATGAGCGGCTCACTCTCTCACGCACACACACACGTTAACACCGCGAATGGCGGGCGCAGGAAGCATTAATAAACGCTCCGATCTCCACACTGCTCGTCGGCGGCACAGTGCGGTCGTAGACGAGTCACTTTAACCGTCCCACGTGCGCGCACATTATCTCTCCGAGTCCATTT